CCTGCCTCAGCCTCCTGAGTAGCTGGGATTACAGGCACGCACCACCATGCCCAGCTAATTTTTTGTATTTTTAGTAGAGACGGGATTTCACCATGTTGACCGGGATGGTCTCGATCTCTTGACCTCGTGATCCACCCGCCTCGGCCTCCCAAAGTGCTGGGATTACAGGCTTGAGCCACCGTGCCCGGCCATCTCTCTCTCTTTCTTTTCTTTTCTTTCTTTCTTTCCGCCTGGCAACTTTCATTTAACAGAAGTTTTCTTATTTTGTTTTGTCTCTGCTAGATTCTGGTATCACAATGATGCTGTTCTTACATAATGAGCTGGGGAGAAGTCCCTTCATATCAATTTTTAGTAATCGTTTTAGAAGGTGTAATGCCAGCCTTTCTTTGTACATCTGGTGGAATTCACCTGTGAATTTGTCTAGGCCTGGGCTTTTAAAATTTTTGGTTGATAGGCTATTTACTACTAAATCAATTTTGAAGCTCGTTATTGGTCTATTTAGGGATTATTTGTTGTTGTTCAGTTATGGGAGGATGTATTTGTCCAGGAATTTATTGATTTCTTTTAGAAAAGAAGCGTGTGTATACAAGTGTTCATAGTATGCTTCAGTAGTTACTTCTGTTTTTTGTGAGGCCAGTGATAATGTCCCTTTTGTCATTTCTAATTTTTTTTTATCTTCTCTTCATTAAGCTTGCTAGTGGTTTATTTATCTTATTGATTTTTTCAAAAGATTTAACTTCTAAATTTCTTAATTTTTTTTAATATGACTTTTTATGTCTAAATCTCTTTCAGTTCAGATATGATTTGGGTTATTTCTTGTCTTCTGCTAGCTCAGTGGTTGGTTTTCTCTTGCTTCTCTTATTTTGTTATTTATAATGTTAGGTTGTTAAATTCAGATCTTTCTTTGTTTTTGATTTGAGCGTTTAGAGTTAAATTTTCCTCTTAACAGTGCCTGAGCTGTGTTGCAGAAACTCTGGTTTATGTTATATCTTTACTCATTTGTTTCAAAGAATTTCTTTATTTCTATCTTAATTTTATTATTTACCCAAAAATCATTTACATGCTTAATTTCCATGTAATTGTATGATTTTAAGTAATTTTCTTTGTATTTAATGATATCTTTATTAAGCTGTGGTCTAAATATGTATTTGGTATGATTTTGAAATTTTTGAATTTGTAGAGATTTGTTCTGTTTTTGATTGTGTACTCAATTTTAGAGTATTATGACCTCTCGTGTTGAGAGAATGTATACTATGTTGGTTTTACATGAAGAGTTCTATAGATTTCTATTAGGACTATTTGGTCAAATGTTCAGCTTAGGTCCTGATGTCTGTTAATTTTCTGCCTCAATGATCTCTCTATTAGTGTCTGTGGGATGTTGTAATCTCCCACTATTATTGTGTCAGAATCTAAGTCTCTTCATAGCTCTCTAAGAACTTGCTTTATTCATGTATATCTATGGATTTTTTTAAAAACAGCTTTCTGTTTTCTGCTTTTTTCCTTCCTAAATATTCTTTGAAGCGCACACAGCATGTCCAAGGTCTTTTTTCATAATGCTTATGTTTCTCATGCTGAGAGTAGCTGTGTACTTGGGTGTTTAGAGAGAAATTCCTTTTAAGGAATATTTTCTGGTCACCTTGATAAATCACATGTTGGAAATAGATGCTTGGTGCCGCAAAGAAAAATTAGCACTGAGACAAAGGATTATTTAACAACGCAAGTTTTACTTCCTGGACTGCAGGAAGGGTACTATTACTAGCCATCTTGTCACGAGAGTACAGTGAACAAAGGGCAATGCACAAATTTACCCCCTATTCATTTGGGGCTGTTCTTAAACTGCTGTGTTTGATCTCCATTGGCTGGAACCAGACCTCACAATCTAAACTAAAACCCGATTGGCTAACAACTTAAAACTTTTCCAAACAGGTAAAAGCCATGGAGAGCTGGGACATGCCTGTGAGCACATCCAGCACAGATATCTTGGTTAAAGTACAAGGACATAGAATGTACTATGTGCCTGTAAGCATGGCATGTTTAACAGC